CTCTCAATTGAGTTTTTAAATACGGCTCCTTTGAAATTGGTCAGTCTAGGTTCACAAAAGCAGAATTTCGAAATCAGGCTCCAAAAGCTGTTTTGTTGTTGAGAACATCTTTGATTGGGTGTAAAGCATGATTTAAACCGGTTTTTCTCAACATAGCTAGTCCAGTGATTCCATCAGTGCGCATTAGACCAAGGTTTTTTTTATTATGCACGCGTACAAAAAAAGCTACGTAGAAGGTCTTAATATCCTGTTTTCGACGCAGTGAACACTTGTTTATTAATCATTGGTTTATAGGAGGTTTCTTGAAAGAGTTGCGTGCGTTGGCACAAAGGAAACGAGCGATTGAAAATGAACCGATGTTGGATCGAGAGGCGAAGAGGCGAAAGATCGACGAACTAAAATTATGCATTCATGGCACTCGCTGCCGTGTGGAGGACCTTGCCCTCAATTTCACGTATGCAGCTACATATTTATATTTTGAAGTTTTCCTGCGACTGGATAAATATGTTTTTTAAAATTATGTTTAGCCTAAATTCAATGTTACAGGGTTAATCCTCCATCATCGGTGTTCGATTATGAAGAGATGGAATTGGTCGAAGGCGGTGCAGACATGGATGTTACTATGGATAATGTCGAGCTTTATGTACAGAAATGTGCAGACTTTTATTTGAATACGGGCATCATCAACCAAGTATGTATTATTGCGTGAGATTAAAAACTTAAATATAATAAATGCTGCATCTCATTTCTGTATTTCAGATGCGTGCATTCCGTGACGGCTTTGATCGTGTTTTCGGTCTTCGAGCTCTCCGCTCCTACAGCCCTGAAGAGGTTCAGGTAGGTCACGATGAGTCAAGGGGCTTGTTAGAAGAGTTTCCATGAAAGTCCTTTCAGCGGTTGTTATCTGGTGAGCAATGTAAGCGAGCAGAGCGTCTTAATATCTTGTTTTACGCATGTGACCTGATTATTAATCGTTCGCGTTTATAGTGAGGTTTCTGGGAAAGAGAGCATTTAAGGCCTTGTTAGGCGAGCTGATCACATAGCTTAGCTGGAATTCATTATATCAAACTGTCTGTAAACCACATGTTTTACAATATGTCTCTTACGATATCGGTTATATTGAGGTATGTAAGGAATTAATACAAAAAATCGTGGAAGAAGTCGCGCAGGAACAAAAAAGGATGATTAAGGGACAGTGCGACCCGCTAGCGGATCGCACTGTCCCGCGCGGCTTGAAAGTGTGACCCATAGCTCGTTGGCGCGGCCGTTGGTGCGTTGTTCTCATAATGAATATTGCCAACGCAAACTGCGTCTTCAAGGGGAAATCAGAGAATTGCTCATCAGGTCGAGAACGTCCATCTTTTTGGTTTCCGTTTAAGAGAATCGCAGAATTCGCGGAAAGTGAATAGTCAATAAGTGAAATAGGAAGCTTATAGAATTTGCGAATATATCACATCATGAGTATATCATGAGTATTGATTCATTGTTTTTGTATTTTGCGCGTATTTTCTCTAGAGGCGCTGTCACCATTCTCATGGTAATCAATGTGTGTTGAGTCTTTGCTTAGGATTTTATCATTCTCCCAAACCGCCAAGTATAATTTATGCTAATGCCTTCCTCCCTGCTTTGTAAATCGGGTTTTTCCTGAGTCGCTGGCGGTCATGTAGAGACGGAATTGATTATTGATAGTGAGGTGAAGTGTTCTTGTTTCAGGTGAATACTTGTGTGCACTACCTCAAACTGCCCGAGTATTCGTCAGCTGATATATTACGGGAACGTCTTCTGACGGCGGTCAACGAAAAAGGATTCCATCTCAATTAAGATGTTGCATTTCTCGTTTATTCTTTCTCGTCGTTTTTGTTCCATTCAACTACTAAGCTCATGGTGCAACCAACATAGTATCCTTCATGCGTTCAAATGTGATTAGAAGTACAGCTCAATCCAATCGATCACATATGCAGCATCAGCAGCAGCAGCACCTTACCTTTTTCGTCCACAACATGGACGCGCTTTGTTTAATTGTTTGTTTGTCAGACTAATGGGTAAAACACCGTTTTTCGTCGTATTTCTTCAGTGTCAGTGTTCCCTTATCTCCTCTTCACAGCGTTCTCAATTTCTTGACAAATAGCCTAGCGTGAGATGACACAACGCACATAAACATCTATCATATCTAGTGTTTTTCACTAGTCTTTGGGTCAAACCTAATCGCCGGTGCGCGTGGCCGTGTGGAATTTCCGTCAGCACACCTTTTCCTCCGTCCCGAATGACGCCTTATTCGCCCAAAACCGGCCCACCTCTCCATTCGTTCATCGATCAGTACAATATAAAAGAGCAAAATTGCCTTGGTTTTCTTCCCTTGCAATCGAAGCAATATTGTGGAAGAGAGAGTTCACTCACACGTACTTTATATTCTTTCTCTATGAATGTGTTCTGAAGTGTTTATCTCTACCTTCTTCATAAACTGTTGTGTATTGGCGACATATTCGTGTGTCTTTTCTCACGGTATATCTATCCGTTGGTATCGTTTTTCTTCAATTGAAGCAGCTTTTCCCCCATCCATGTTATTCCCACTGTCGTAGAAGTTCTTGGAAATCGTTGGTAACGTTTGCCTTTTTCTTCATGTAAGTATTTGAGCATTTGAGGTGAAGCGTTAGGTGGTATGTTGATGTTCCTGAAAAGAACTGATAGCCAAATAGGTCTTTGTGAGGACATTTTTATATCTTCAGTCCGTATTTTTTGTGAACTACGTCAAAATAAACCCTGATTTCGTAGTTGATTGGGTTTGTTTCCCATCGATTGCATGGAAGACGTCAGTCTCATCCTATAAACGCTCTTTTAGACCCGAGTTTCCGCGCTCCAGAAGTTCTGGCAATATTGCATTCCTGAAGAGGCATTGCACAGCTTATCAAAATAGACCAATCCGTTCCGTTAGGAGGGAGTATT